GGACGCTGCGGGAGCCGGGCCGGGCCGGGCCGGCGCGGGGACTGCGGGAGCGGGGCCGGGTCGGTCCCCCACCACCGGGAGCCGCCCTTCCCGCTCCGGGGTCAGCCGATTGGCCTCCGTGCGCCCTGCCTGTAGGCAAGTCAGGACCGCGCTGTCCCCGGCGTCCATAAAGACACCCGGGTAGGGTGGGACCACCGCGATCGCCGTCCAGGCTCGGGAAGGCCGGACCGCAGGCTTGCTCGGTTTGAACCCAGGCCCCGAGTCACAGCCGGGGAGCCTGGCCACGGCCCCGCCGAGGCGACAGTGACCCACGTCGCCGGGCTGGCGCGGCCGGGGGAAGGCGGCCCGCGGTGGGGCCACTGGGGCTCGCTGCCCCAGGACGTGCCGGCCCCTCCTCTCTGTATGGAGCGGTCCACCCATTGTCGTTCCTGACAGGCTGCGGGCAGTTGGCGGCCTGGGGTCCAGCTGTGCCCCCACCCGGCACGCCCCTGCCACCAAAGGAGCGCCCTGCTACTTCCCCCAGCCGGCCGGGCCGCCGCCTGCCTGGCTGCCTTCAGCTATCGCTCTATCTCCTCACTAAGTGGCCCAGGCTGTCCTTGCTTGGTCTTCTCATCCTCCTGGCTCAGCCTCCGGCGTAGCTGGAATTACAGGCTTGAGCCACCCCACCGCGCCAGGCTTCCTCACAACTTGACCTGAGTAACCCTGGACTCCCCACGTAGGCCCCCATTTAAAAACAGTTTCAGGGGCACATTTCTCTGACATTGCTCCGCACACACCTGCTTATCATTCTTATCAGAAAGGGTGGGGCTGGAAAACCCTCTGAGATAAAGCTCAGTATCATTTCCTGGGCTGGTCACACTGAAACTGTCAAAATTGTCTTGCTCCGACTCCTTTCAGTTGCCTCCCTTGACTCCATTCCCTTGTTTGTTTGTTTAGAGACAGGGTCTCACTAGGTAGTTCAGGCTGCACTTGAACTACGTAGCCCAGGCAGACCTGAAATTCCTGGTGATCCCCTGCCTCAGCCTCCCAAGTGCTGTGATTACAGTACTCTGTCTCTATCTATTTGCTCTCATAGTTAACAAAGTACCTTTCATTCCAGATCTAAGGATCCTAACAGCCACCCCACCACTGCCTCGGCAGAGGGATTGTGTCAGGGCTGGAGGGGTTGGCAATTTCAGCAAGGAAGCAGTTTAGTCTGCTCAAATGTGGCCGTGGTTGATGAAATGCAGGTTCTCTGACAAGCTCTGCCTCGGTAATCACCTCCCTTACCTTCTGGCCAATCCTTGAGTGTTTTTCCAGTTACATACCATGGTTTAATCTCAACTGAGTTCTTGGAAATGTCTCAAAAAGTGGCCACTTGCAAAAAATAGGCTAATCCAGGGGTGGGACAATGAAAGAAAGAAGAGGGAAAGAACAGGACAGGACAGCAGAAGAAAAAAGATGAAACTTCTCTCAAGATGAGGAAGCAGGAAGTTGTTATAGGAACCCAGTAAAACCCAGGGCCAAAACTGGGTGAGCAGGAGTTAACCACGCGGCGTTGCAGATGCCTTGAGCTTGGCGCGGCACTGGGGGTCCTGGACTCAAGTTTGAAGAAGTCAGAATCCTCGTGCAGTAACAGAGAAGGACACCATTCATCTTGAAGCAGTGGGAGCAACAGAACCCAGGTTGGAGGGGAATAAATCAACAGTACAAAGGCACAGTAAGTACTGAAGAGTATGCTTTTAGGGAGAACTAAATTTATTGCAGTTTCCTTTAGAGTAAGAGGGAATGATTACAGGACGAGGGATTCTCCCGGGACCGAGCAGGGCATGGTGGCACTCTTGTCATCCCATCACCCGGCCGCCCTGGCTGAGGCAGGACTATGACTGTGATTTAAAAGGTCTGCCCGGACCACATAGCAAGATCCTGTTTCATAAAACAAACAAAAATAATAAAGATAAAAAAGGGGCTGGGGATGTAGCTCAGAGCAAAGCCCTGGGTCCTACACCCACGACCACACAGGCACGCACACACGCGCGTGCACCACTGTGACCAAATGCACTTAGGAACCCACTGTCACCGGGGGCATTCCGCTGTCCTGTACAGGCGATGCTGGAGTCACCTGCGGGGTTGGTTTGGGCTGTGAGCACCTGTTTCGCCTCAGTGACATTTAGGGAACACTGACAAGTCACGATCTTGGCAGAAAACTATATTGCCACTGAAAACTGTGATTTCATGAAAATATTTGCACTGAAAGAAGATGTTGGGCTGGTGAGATGGCTCAGCGGTCTAAAGCACCTACTTAGAACAAGCTTAGCAAAGCACAGGGACCGCGGTTCAATCCCCCAGCACCACATGCCAGCCAGCCCCGCCCCCTGGTGGGCTGAGCTGGCCACACACACACACACACACACACACACAAAAAAAAATAAATAAAATTAAAAAAAAAAAAAAAAGAAGATGTTGTAGGAGAAACACAACAGAGGCCCTAAGGAGGTTTCTGTGTAGTGAGAAGCAGTTGTGTGAGGGCTTCTGGCGACCTGAGGCAAGCCGGCTACTCGTATCTAAAGCTCTAACAGCCTCGCCACTGATGCTCTCTGAAGGTGCCGTGTGGATGTCGAGAGCCCATCACACACAGCTGTCAAGCTGTCTCTTTTTTTTTTAGTTGTTTTGAGACAGTCTCGCTACACAGTTCAGGCTGGTCTTGAGCTCACTTTGTAGCCGAGGTTGGTCTTGAACTTATAAGGATCCTCCTGTCTCAGCCTCCCCAGTGCTGGGATTACAGGTGTGCACCACTACTCCAGGCTTAAGCTGTCCTCCAAGTCTCAACTTCCTCCTCTTAAAAGAAATAATGCTACTCTCTTCAAGAATATTACAAAGGGCTGGGGAAGATGGCTCAGTGGAATAAGCGCTTCCCTGGCAACGCAAGGCCCTGAGTTCAATCCCTGGTTCTGCCAAAAAAAAAAAAAAAAGTATTACAAAGATTAGAGGGGCCAGGGAGATGGCTCAGTAGAATAAGCACCTGCCTGTCAAGTGCAAGGGCCTGACTTCAATGCCCAGTATCACAAAAAAAAACCAAACCTGATACCATGAGGTACTTTCCTCAACCACAGTTGACTGGCTGGCTGCCGGGAACTACTAACCAATACAATTCTGAGATTAGAACAAAAACAAAGGCCAGCCAGATAGCTCCGTGGACTACAGCACCTGCTTCAGCAGAGTGCTATGGCTGGGATTCAATCCCAGGCGTGCCGTGCTGGCCCTGCCTCTGGGACGCACTGAGATGTTGATTAAGACTGGGCATGGTGGCACGCGCCTGTAATCCCAGCTGAAAACACGAGAATCACTACGAGTCTGATCTATGTAGTGAGACCCTGTAGACCCTGTACTAAATACATTAAAAAAAAGGGGGGGGCAGGGAGATGGCTCAGTAGAATAAGCGCTTCTCTGGCAAGCGCAAGGGCCTGAGTTCAATCCCTGGTTCTGCAAAAAACGACAACAAAAAACCCTTCCATTTAATTTAGGTTAAGATCATTCCTTTTTTTTTAGTACTGAGGATTGAGTATAGGGCCTTTACACTGAGCTCTGTCCCCAGCCTGTTTTTATTTTGAAATAAGATCTCACTAAGTCACTTAATTGTCCAAGCTTGGGGTTGAACTTGAGATCCTCCTGCTTCAGCTTTCCCGAGTACTGAGACTATAAAAAATGAGATACTACACCCAGCTGGAATTTCCTGTTTCTTTAGCATTCAAGTCAGAGGTTCTTCACTTACTATAGGTTTCAACTCCTATAAACTCATTTTAAGTTTGTTTGTTTGTTTGTTTGTTTGGTACCAGGAATCAAACGCAGGCTCATTTTAAGTTAAAAACATCACCACGTACAAGATATGTTGAATACTCCCATAAGTCCATCATAAAATTAAAACTTGTCAGGTTGAGCCACAACAAATTGGAGACTATGTGCCTACTGTGGACCCCAGAAAGGCAAGTGGAAGTTGCAGGGCCGGGGAGATAGCTCAGTGGCATGAGCGCCTGTGTGGCAAGCGTGAGGTCCTGAGTTTGATCCCTGGTACCCAAAAAAAGAAAGAAGTTGGAGGGGAATGAACTAGGCAGCGAGTCCTGTGCACCATCTGGAACCAGCTTTCACTCCCAACAGCAGACTGCCCTGCAGACACGCCCGCAGCGGGAGAAACCTGTGGCAGCGGAAGCAGCAGCGGCGGCAGCGGGGCGAGCGGGTCAGACCTGGCGCAGCTGCATGCAGCAGGTTGTGCAGCCTGCACCCAGCACAGGAGTCAAGGTGCCTGCGCTGCCGTCCTGGCGTCCTCCTGGAACACCCCTTCCCCCGCAAGAGCCCCAAGGCCTCTCCTACACGCAAGAATGCCTGAAGCCTCAGCTGCACCCCTGCAGCAAAGGGCTGTCCTGGCCAAGAATGAAGGTACAACGTGATTCTGGAGGGACAGCCAGGCCCCAGCTTGTCCCTAGTTCCTCCTAATGCTCAGAGAGGTTTTGGGTCCAAAATATCCATGTTTGTTGAGACGTCACGCAGTTCAGGCTAGCCCTGAACCCACAGCAGTCCTCCTGCCTCAGCCTCCTGAGTTACAGACGGAGACCACCACGCTCGGCTGAAACGTCACTTCCCTGGCAGGGCAGATACCCTGAGCAGGAAACGGGCAATTCCTTTTGTTAGGTTTTTGGGCAGCAGTGCAGTGAAGAGAGGAAAGATGGAAGAAGCCTTTATGCACGCCAAAGACCCAGAGTGGAGTGAGGGCAGACGCGGAAGCCTCGGACCTGAGACGAAGCAAGCCAAGCCTTTCAGGGACTGTCCTAGGGGTGGAGTGAAGAGGGGCAGTGTTAAGTACACCAAGGAGCTGACTGGGGTCCCTCCGGTGTGTGTGGGAAAGGTGAGAGGAAACTATCCCGGCTGGGGTGGGGAAGGAGGAGGAAGTGGTCATGGGAAGATAAGCTGTTGTTTTGGGATTCAGCCATGTTAGATGGCCGCATAAGAATTCAGCGGTTCATGCTAGCGCCAGAACCTAGCGCCTTTGATAAGAAAAACAAATGGCGTGCCCAGTGCAGTTGCACTGTGCCTATAATCCCAGCACTCAGGAGGAGGCTGAGGCAGGAGGGTTGCCAGTTCGAGGCTAGGCTGGGCTATATACAGTGAGTTCAAGGCCAGCCTGAACTGCATAGCAAAAGCTTGTCTCAAAAAGACAAAAAAATAAAATAAATTAAAAACATATATATATATATATATATATGTTTTTTTTTTTTTTTTTGGAACCGAGGACTGAACTTAGGCCCTTGTGCTTGCCAGATAAGCACTTATTCTACTAAGCTAACTCCTTTGCCCCTAGAAACATAAAATTGAAGAACATTAACGCACGAGGTACTTAAAAGGTGTCTGGAAATCCCATCGTCATCAGTGGCACCACTTTTATTTAT